AGTGGAATTCTTACCTTTAACTATCTCCACTAAATACGCCAGGCCGCTGGCGTTTGCAGTTGTGTATCGTCCCCCAAACCAGATTTCTGAACACGATGGCCTTCTCCTAAGGGGACTGAACAAGACCTGCTTGAACAGAGACGTCCTTATTGTCGGGGACTTTAACGCCCCCAATATCGACTGGCAAGCTTGGACGGTTTCGGGTCCATCAAACACATTCGGACAACATTTGCTTGAATTGGCAGCAGAAAAACTACTTTTCCAGAATGTAACTCTCTGAACACGTGTAAGGGAAGGGCAACGTTCAAATTGTCTCGACCTGGTGCTCGCTCGAGATGAGGAGAGTGTGCTGGATATACAAGATCTCCCGCCAATTGATGCTAGTGATCATATTGTGATGCTCTTCGAGTATTCCATGTTCTCCCAGCCTAATTCACCTGAACAGTTACAAAGAAATATCTGGAAAGGGTTTTTTCTAGCATGCGAACGCAAGTCTCAATCCACGATTGAGCCCGGGTCGAAGCTGACATTTTATACAATGTCTAGAGGGCACTTGATCGACTACCATTATTAAGTAAATGAACTTGAAGTAGATGCAAACTCGAGGACCAGAGTTTAATTTAATTTAATTTATTAAATGCCAGTTTACAGGTATTGTCAAGGGAAGCGATTAAACACAAAGTTGCCTTTTCCTGAATGATAGGTGGCGATGCACTGATGAACTTCGTGTCGACGAAGTGCTTATGACCGATCTGGTAGACCCCAGTGGTGAATCAACTGCGTCAGGTACGTCTGTGCGCATGTTTGTGTTTCTGGTTGCAGCTGCTGGTCAGTCTTATGCTTGATTAAGCGTAGGCGAAATATGCCCGAAACAATACTGTACCAATCTACCCACATTCGCTGTCGTCCCTCCTTACTGCTGTGATAACTTGGCCAACTTCGGCCTGGTAGTTGGTTGCCTGTTCGTGACCTTTGCCATCCATACGAAACTTGCTTCTTTGGGAAGCAAATAGATCTGTGGGCGCCTACTCTTGATGAAAAATATAAACATATATATGAGAAGAATGAGAGATGATCTCGGAGACCATATTGTTATTGTCCCGAAATGTCAAATGCAGGCGAGCTTCCATCCTTGGACTTGAGTATCCTACTGCGTCGCAAAATATTTAAAGGTTGGTGACATGCATGGTAACGCGGTGTTAATCATACAGGCTAATCTTAACAGTGAACAAAGGGGGAGTCGCAGCCGTCTTCGGCGCTCATCGCCCGCATACTTTCAGGGACCGTCTTTGTGGTTGTCGGGCAGAGGGGTGACTGCTATCAATCTGCCTGTCTCTCGTTGGGGTCGGAGTTTGAATGTTAGTGGCCAACACCCGCATTCGCGTTGACCTTAGTTGCTGCCCTAGATCGCCAGTATTGTTTGCGTCCCTCGGGCCGCAGTTCTTCCCGTCTGCAGGAGTAGTGGTTGAGGTGACAGTATTAATGACTGAGCCTTCGTCATGCCCGAATTGTGATGTGACTGCGTGCGTGTCCGTTGTAGATTCTCCCGCGTTCGGATTCACTCTTGGCCTAACTTTGCACCTTCTTTTTCGTCTGTTGAGCTGCGTCTGGAGGGCTTGG